ACGGAGGGCAGTACGCTGACTGTGACAGACACAGTAACAGCAACACGGAGCTAAGCAGGTCCACCATTTAACAGCCAACTAAAGGGTGGTTCTGTATTTTATGGGACTGTTTCAACCCTGAGTTACCAGGTATCCTTAAATTTCTTTTGTCATGTTCAGGTAATAAACCTTTGAAACAAAAACGTTGAAATTAATCAAGAATGAAACCAGAATAATGGTGTAATGTTAATTCAACTTTGGAGAGAAATTGCAGGACTTTTTTTAATGATTAAATGTGACCAAATAGTTAAGAAAAGTAGCAACTCCTCTTCCTTGATCACTGATTTTGGTTGTTTTAATAGTTTTTTCCCCCTCAAATTCACACGTCTAAAAAGTCTGAGAAAATTAAATGAGTCTGAATTTGTTGTTTTAGCAGCAAACCTAAAAAAACGTTCCTTTTGTTCCTCACAGACTTCCAGATCTGCCGCCACACAATCGAGTCCGTGTGAAGCTTGGTTTCATTCCCTACAGGATCGGGGAGAGGACTCTTCTGGTCGACTTTGACTGCGCTTCTTTCAGAGACATCAAGAAAAGCTGCACAGTCACCATCAGACCTTAAACTTTATATTCTGCATTTGTTCCTTTAAAGAAACATAGTTGATGCATGAATGAATACTCTTACAGTTGCTAAAGATGTGAAGCATTTTGCTTAAATGGAGTCATATAGTTAATCAGTTTTCTATAAAAGTCTGATAAACTGCCAACATGCTGCCATGTAAGAACTGTGAAATATAGTCTGCTTTTCAACTAGACCTTGTGTTTGATCTAGTTTGATTCGCCAACAGCCTGTTACATAACTGGTCATGTTACATCAATTAAATCTACCGTATGTCAGTTGTTTACACCTTAATTTCTTTAGTTATGATTTCGTTTCTCATATTTGTATCTCTGCAGGATCATAAAGTGTTTTCAGCCTGTTACAGTTAGCATTTTTTGTATGAAAAGCTTTGCTTTTATCCAAGAAAATGATGTGCAGTAAAAAAAACAAACTCAAACATTCACAAGTGTTGAAGTTTTTTTTGTTTGTTTTTTTACATGGGAATGATAAAGGTCTGCTGTAGAGTAAAGAGTAAAAGCAATCAATGTTATTTTGCTGATAACAGCTCAGGTCTGCAGATCACTAGTTTGTTTGCTGCTTGGTCACCAGCAGAGGTGGGAAAAGGACTCAATTATTTGAGTAATTAGTTCTTAACAAAAAAGGCAGAAAAAGGGTGACATAGACTTGGATTATTCTGCCATTCAGAAGTTCACCACAGCTTCGCTTTACCAGCTAATAGTGAGCTATTGTAAGCTACCTTGGCCCTATCAGTAGGATACGCAGAAGGCTTAAGTTCAAAATAAATTTCACATTGGGT